TGATTTATGTGCCATGTGTATGAGGTTTTGTGTTATTATGTGTATTGCATTTGATGTCTAGAACTTACCCCGTGTGTTTGCAAAGCGAAATAATAGTTGTATTCAGTCTTGGAAGTGATATAGACATTTCTTTGTTGAGCTAGTTATATGCTTTTACCCACCTAATTGTTATGTATCGTAGTTAACCCTTTTTGAGTCTGTAATCTTATTTCTTTGGCAATCACAGTATAAGCATTACCCATTTATTTGAATTGACCATCTATTTGAACCTTGTACCTCTCGTAAGCACTTAAATTTGTTATGAATTTTGTAAAAGTTGAAGTGTGGGGTGGTTGGTTTGGCTTTTGAGTGGAACTAATGAATTAAGGAGAAAAGTGCATTGTTTTGAAAAAGTAAGAGCCATTTGAATTGAAAAACAAAAAAAATTAAGTGTATGATTGTGAAAAATATTCCTTGATAGTGGTAACTCTTAATGTATGTGTGCTTAATGAAGTAAGGAGTTGATGTATATTGATGTGAAGGTGGAGTTATGGTTTGACATAAGTGTGGGGTTTTGAACAATGAAATGTATGTATTAAAGTGCTTAGGGAGGTCTAGTCACTCTTATATCTAAATGTATCCCACCCATACCGCAACCTACATTACAACCAGTTAAAGTCCTACTTGATCATTGACTGAATGAGCTCAATTAGTAGAGTAGTACACTACGGGCAAGTTTATGGTACGTCTTTTGTGGCACATGAATGTTATTTCTGAGAGTGAGCGAATTCCTTCTATCTTGAGTTCCTAATTGTTCTTAATTTCTATTGTGTGTGGAACTACTTTCTATTGTTGTGTGAGGGAAATTATTTTATGAAGGAAAGGTAATGTCGTTGACCTCTGTGTTAGAGTAAGTGAGCGAATTATAAATAATGTGTGGTGCTTTTGAGTCAAATTTTGAGGCTAGGATGTTACAATATTGTACTTAATCTATTTTAAATATTCTTTGTGTGATGAGTTATGAGAGTTGTTGAAAAAGATCATGTTTATATAAAGTGTAGTTTGATTGCTCGAGAACGAGCAATGGTTTAAGTGTGGGGTGTTGATGGTAGGCTATAATCTCGTATTAAAGTCACTTATTGCATTCTAATTCATTATACTTTACTTGTTTTGAGATTTAATTAGGAATGCTTTGCACTTATTGTGTGTTTTATGCCTTGTAGGAGTGATTCCGAGTGATGTAGATGTTGTGAAGCTAATTCGAGCTATTTGGAGCTTTGAAGTCTGAGTAAAAGCCCAAGAGATTAAGTCGGGATCGTGTTTGGGGGTCGAGGACCAAGTTTGGACGTCAAAAATCGAAGTTTGATCTGTACTCTGAGAAATCCCCACTGCCACGGTGCGTGGGGCGCCGCGCTTGTACAAATTCCTGCTGTCTGTCAGAAGTTAGCTCTCTAGATTTTCTCACTAATGCCCCGCATGGCGCGTTGTCCCATGCGATGCGCCTGTGTATTTTTTACAGAGTAAAGATCCTACTTCGGCTAGGAAAAGGTGATTTCATCTGGGCCGACCCTACTTGGTATAAATACATGAAAAAATATTATTTTCTAGAATTTTGACACATATTAGACCTAAGGAGGCTAAGGAGGAGTTGAAAGAACACGAGCACAAGGATTTTTATCATTCCTTCCTCACTCAAGACCCGAGTTTGGATTGAATTTATGTTTTCCTCTACTTTAACTTTATTTGTGATGAATTTCTCCATATCTATGGAGTAGTTCCCTTTTAGGGTTTGATGGATTTGGTGCATCGATGATTGTTTGTGGATTATAACTCTAGTTTTATGTATTTAAGCGTTGTTGGATGCTTTAACTATTGCATCTATATTCACTTGTTCATGTTATCGAGAGAGGCATAACTTGTGATATCTTTGCATTAACTTGTTGGTTGAGTTCATTAATTCTTCTTAGTAATTGAAAGAGGCTAGTTAAATTATTGATTAAACCTAGTTAGGAGAATAATTAGAAGAGGTTTTCCTAAAGACCAATCCACTACGCATTCTTGCATATCTTCATGTACTTAAATTGGTTCATCTCGTGAGGTTAAGACTTAATCGAGGGAGGAGTTTTTGCTAAACGTTTGAACTAATAATTGAGTGAATTCGAGAGACTCGCTTGAACCTTAGAAGTGAATTATATAGAGTTAGATCCCACACAATTATCTTGCACCTATTCTATCAATTCCTATTTCCTCCCATTGATAACTTCCTTGCTTATTCCTTGTTTTGATTATCATTAGTCAATAGCTTTAGATTCGTAGTTAATTTTAGTTAGAAACCATATACATCTCAATTGTTGATCATATTGGATAGCAACCAATCTAGAAACTACGAGAATACTGTTTAAATCCAATCCCTGTGGATACGATATTATACTATACTATATTTGACTAGCGAGCAAAATTTAAGTGTGTGTTTTGCGCTCGTCAGCAATGACAACGAACCATTACATCCATCCATGGTCATTGTCGTCATCAACGCTAGTAAGGAGGGCATGATGACCGTGTTTGCTAAGTTTTAGTGCACCATACGGAAGATCTTTGGGGTTTAGAGGTTCATCATGTGTGCAAAAGTTAGGGTTTCCTCGGCCTCAGAGCACAATTGGCAGAGGCAAGCCAACGTACGTCATACTGATGGGCATGATTGCGTCAAACAAATTTGGTACTGATGGAAAAATTCTAAGATTATTGGGTTGATTCCTTATCCCATTCCCAAAGTGAAAGGGTATGTATAAACATACATGAACCCTGGTTTAGAGAAGGCAACTTTTTCCACCTCATTAGGGGAGAGGATTTCAATGTTTTTCAATCCTCCTTCACGATAAGGATGCTAGGATAACGAATGGAAAAATGATACCTGCGAACATGCCAGTGTCTGTCACTTTTGGGATTTGAGGTTCTTTTTGTTCTTGAAGGTAAGATTTCTTGCTAAGTTGGATGGGTATGATGGAGTTCACGGTAGGAGGTTCAGACTCGACATCAGCCTCGTTTGTTTTGTTCTTCTTTGGACATCCACCGAAGAGAAGGCGAGAGTTTTCGAGGGCAGAGATATTAGAAGACATGATGGTAAGAAATTAAAAAGAAGGATTTTACTGAGAGAGGTGAAATTTGCAGTAGAGTTCTAAGGAGGTTCAAGGAAGGAGGAGGAGTTGTAAAAGTAAAGAATAAAAATGATGAGTGATGGAGAAGTTATAGATGGAAAAACTCGTGGTCATGATTACCTCCAAAACGGGCGGAAATATTTGCCGAATCACGGGAAAATACGTGTTCAGGTCATTAAATGTGAGGAGACGTGCGTCCTTTCAAGTGTCAGAAATCGTTCAAGAACTTTCCCGCCAAGAAAAGAGTTCTTATCTACTTCCCAGTAACACTAAGTTGTGTCACTGGAAAGTAGGGGGACTATCTGTATAGGGTAAAAATGATTAGCGAGAGTTGGACGAATGACGAAGTGACACGAGGAACTGGAGACAGGTAGGATGGGAGTCAGCAAATAGCTGGCACCGGATGCAAGCATGTGACCGGTGCTGAATGAATCCCAAAGACAGAGTAGCCGATAACAAAGATTCAAAGAATTGACATAGGGTAGCATTCAATGAGCAACTGTTATAGAGACGAATGACGAAGTGGCACATGGAACTGAAGACAAATTGAATGTGAGTCAGCAAATAGCTGGCACCAAATGCAAGCATGTGACCGGTGCTGAATGAATCCCGAAGACAAAGTAGCCGATAACAAAGATTCAAAGAATTGACATCGGGTAGCATTTAATGAGCAGTCGTTACAAAGAATATCTGCATTTATAGCCAACCATTATGCAACCATCAATGTCGATTTTATTCTCATTCAAGAGGAGCTTGATTTGGAGATCTTGTCTCCCTAAATAGAGCTATAAACAAGAGAATTCGCATCCATTGTAGGGACGAAACATTATGTACACAAAAGCTTGAATCATCTCTCATTCTATAACATTATTCTTTTATCTTGTTCTTAATATTGTTCTCTTTTTCTACCGGAGAAGTTAAATTCATAGCCAAACTTGTATTTCTTTTAATTTCATTTATAATTTTATTTCTGTTCTTATTTATTTCATATTTTTGGGTCAAATCGATTCACTTGTCTATAAACTACTTTACAAATTTAACTGTTTCATTTTACAGGTAAACATATATATCGCATAGTATATAGACTATAAAGGATCGCATAGTATATAGACTATAAAGGGTGTAACTATGTAAGTACTTATGTGAAGTTTAATAGTATGTAGGAGTTGTATTTTATTCGAAACTGATTCATATTTTAGGAGTATTTCATGTAATTTAGCCAAATTATATTTCATGAAATATGAGGTGCGTCACGAATGACACCGTTATCTCCATCCGTTATCTGCAAAGCTGGACATCATTGTAAACACCTTGGTATTGCTGAATGGGCCAAGCTGGCATGCCGCTCTCAAGCACATGGCCAGCTACTACTGTCAAGAACTGTGCCCATCGTTTTACTCTATTGCCCCTACTTCAATATCCATTTTCTTTTTTAAAATTTAAAAACAAATACTAAAAGATAAATCAATAAATAATATTTCCGCTTTAAGGTTCTCTAATCACATTTAGGAAAAAATGATGCTCAATCATCATGGTTAGATTTAGTAAAAGAGCAGTCAATCGCCCCTTTTTCCATTTATTCCCGTTTCAGTTCCACCCGAAATATTTATAATTATTAAAATATAGTATTTCCAACAATGACCAAAATTGTCTAAAGTTGGATTGAAAAGTTAAATGGTAAAGGTGTTAATTAAGTTACATTAATTTTATTTTTACTTGCTAACTTTTACCAAGAAAATATATCTCTAGGTAATATAATTATAATTGTTTTTCTTTTTTCTTTCCCTCCCTTCGTCTATCCATATTACTCTCTGTAAAACCCAATTTCTCTCTGTAAACTATAGACTATAGTAAAAAAGAAAAAACTTACTTTCACATGTTCGTTTCCTCTCTCTCTTTTGCCAGGCCAGAGATCGCATTCATTCTTTGCTTCTGCCTTTTATATATCACGAGATCCCCATCTCTTTTTCTCTTTCTTTTCCCTTCCCTTTCTCTCTCTATGTACAGTTCTTCTTCATAGCTTCTCTTTCTGCATTTCCTTCTCCATTTCTAAACTAAAAACCCAATGTCAGAAATGGGTCTTAATGGTCTAACTGATCGGTTGAAAAACTCACTGAGCTGCAATGAATTTAACAACGACGGCACCGAAATTAACAAGCCCGATTTCAGGGAACTGGATCTGAGTTCACCTGTTTCAACCCGCCCCAAATCGAATGGACTCACCACTTCAACAAGCAGCAGCTCCAGCTCATCCGGATCAATGTCGGGTCAGAATGGTTCCTACCCGAATCCTAACAGGTTCAATACGAATCACTCCGGTGAACTTTCCGGTTCAGTAGACAGCTCACGTCGGTTCAAACCAGGCCATACCAGGTCCCGGTCCGATTCTCAACCGCTAATCTACTCCGGTAGAAGCTCTGTAAATTCCCCTGCTTTAAATTCACTTCCCACAGGCAATATTTGCCCTTCAGGTAAAATTTTAAAAACAGTCATTCCTAGTAAATCTTCAAAGACTGACGTTTTTGGGTCAAGGACCGGAAATTATGGCATTGGCAGCATAATTCGGGGCGGTGGGGTTGATATTAGCGGTGCTGCCAATGCCGTAAAAGAAAAAACTTACTCGCAGTTTACATCAAATCCAGAAGAGTTGAAGAGAATAGGGAATGTGAATTATAAGAAGGGTAATTTTGCCGAGGCTTTGAATTATTATGATAAAGCTATAGCGATTTCGCCTGGAAATTCTGCATACCATTGTAATCGGGCAGCTGCATTGATGGGTCTTAAACGGGTGGCGGAGGCTGTAAAGGAATGTGAGGAAGCTATTAGATTGGATCCGTCATATTTTAGGGCGCATCAACGGCTAGGATCTTTGCTACTTAGGTAAGTAGAGGAAAGTTGAAATCTTTATGCTTTGTTTGAATAAGTATTAATTATCAAAAATCTTGGCAATGTTGTGAAATTTATTGTAAGTTTGATGTGGTGTTATGGTTAAATGTGTTAATTGTATTTATATAGCTAACATGGATTTTTTGATAATATCAAACTCCCTTAGATGGTATTTTGCAATAATATTGGCATGATATGATTTACACACAGTAATGTGGCCTGTGAGGATTCATACAGCATAGTTCTTGTTGCATCAAACTTCCTTAGCTGATGCATTGTGTCTGTTACCCTGCAAAATCTCAAACCGGGATCTGCCAAATGTGATGATTGATCTTCATTGTTGCCAACAAAGGCTCATAGTCTAGTAGTACGGTGTTAACCTCGCAATAGGTGTGTGAGCTCATATCCCATCGTCCCCCTTTTTCCTTCCACTTTGACCATCACCAAATGTAGAAAATCTTTAAAAAGACCAAGAGCTTCGTTGGTGGCCGTTGGTGCATTTTATCATTACCAGATCTGATTGCCTTGGAAGATATACAGTTAATGATTTTGACTATTCGGATTGTTGTGACCATTGTCACTGTTAGATATTCCCTCTGTTTGGTCCTTTTATATAGGGTTGTCCTTTCCAAGTAGTTGCTGTTATCGTTGTTTACCTGTCCCATATACAGTTAATGTTTTTGACTATTCGGATTGTTGTGAGCATTGTCACTGTTAGATATTCCCTCTGTTTGGTCCTTTATATAGGGTTGTGCTTTCCAAGTAGTTGCTGTTATCGTTGTTTACCTGTCCCATTTTCTTTTTCATGGTTATCATTTATTAGCTGGTTAGGACACCTTGTTGTTATTCAGTTTTTAGGGTGACTTTTGCATTGGGTTGTGGGCTCTCTCGGGTGATAGTTGAATAGAATGTAAATAACTTGGAAGCATCCTAGTTCAATGCCATGTCTTCCGTCATGATTATTACTTGTAGGTGGTGTCGGTGAAATGTGATATCTTTTTGCTGCCCAAGTATTATCTGGAGCATGTTTTTCTAGTTCTTTTTTATTTTATTTTATTTCTGCAGTACTTTCTGCTTGGAATTTAGTGTTTCCTTTTTCTTTTCCCCTCTTAAATCGTAGTGGTTTGTAAGTTTTCCACCAACAATATTATTATCAACCATCTAATTTTCTTTACGAATTTTATTGCCCTTGCTACAGCATTCTATCACGGCCTGTCTGAATTAGGTTATTGGAGTTACTCTTATTTTTCATCTTGCTGAAAGCCATCTAATTCTTGTAAGACTCACAGTTTAGGACAGGTTGAAAATGCCAGAGATCATATGTGCTTCCAAGGGCATCAGCCAGATCAGGCCGATTTACAGAAGTTGCAAGCAGTGGAGAAACATATTGGAAAATGCACTGATGCCCGTAGGGTTAGTGATTGGTGGAGTACATTGAGAGAAGCTGATGCAGCAATTGCTTCTGGAGCTGATGCATCTCCTCAGGTAAAATAATAGTCAAGATTCAGTCTCTGAACCAGATGCTGCTTGAAAAGCTAAAGTGTTGGTACTGAATTACTGAAATTGAATTTACAGCTATTTGCATGTAGAGCGGAAGCTCTTTTGAAGCTACACCGATTAGAGGATGCTGAATTGAGCCTATCAAATGCTCGCAAGTCTGAATCATCTACTGTGGGATCCCAGTCAAAAAATTTTGGGATGCTCTCTGAAGCATACATACTATTTGTTCAGTCTCAAATGGAGCTGGCTCTGGGAAGGTGAGTTCAGGCTTATTTGCTAAATTGTAACAGAAATAAGAGGTTCAGCAGTTCGGAAGTAAAGAATGAATCACGAATATTTGTAGGTTTGAAAATGCACTTACCACCATTGAGAGAGCTGGACAGATTGATCCTCGAAGTATTGAAGTTTCAGTTTTATTCAACAATATGAGGTTGGTGGGACGAGCTCGTGCACGTGGCAACGATCTATTTAAATCTGAGAGATACACTGAAGCTTGTGCGGCTTATGGGGAAGGTCTCAGGCTAGATTCTTCAAATGCAGTTCTATACTGCAATAGAGCAGCCTGCTGGTACAAACTCAGGCAGTGGGAAAAATCAGTGGATGATTGCGATCAAGCTCTCCATATTCAGGCAAATTATACTAAAGCCCTTCTTCGAAGAGCTGCCTCAAACACCAAGGTGATAGTCTTACTCTCAAATATTTATGAGACAACTTTTCCTAAAAAACTTTTAATTTGTTCTCCCTTGCTAGTTTCTCTGTTTGAGCAAAAGTTCTAAATTTTGATTGTGCTTAATCAATTATAGCTAGAAAGATGGGCTGAAGCTGTTAGAGATTATGAAGTTTTGAGGAAGGAACTTCCACAGGACAATGAAGTTGCTGAATCATTATTCCTAGCCCAAGTTGCCTTAAAGAAATCACGTGGAGAAGATGTTTACGATATTAAATTTGGTAAGGAGGTGGAGTTGGTTTCGGGTCTTGAGCAGTTTCAAACTGCAATCTCATCACCTGGTAGGCTTCCCTGCATCCCATCCTAATATCACTTTGTGATTCACCATGATTCAGTAATTATGATTGGAAACTGCAGGTGCATCTGTAGTCCATTTTGAAGCAGCATCCAACCTAAAATGCAAGCAGATATCTCCAGTTTTTCACACATTATGCACTAAATATCCTTCCATGAACTTTCTCAAGGTAAACAATGACAGGCAATTTCTTGTTTTGATGGGGTATACTGTATAGTACATAGAGCTTTTACCTATGACCGAGATGCTGCCATTTCTAAATAGAGTTAGTATATCTTTCTTATGATTTTATATGGACGGTAGAGGAGATAAAACTTATATTCATCTTCTGTATCTACTGAAGGTGGATGTGGACGAGAGCCCGGCAATTGCTACTGCAGAGAATGTCAGAATCCTACCAACATTTAAGATTTACAAACAGGGCAGCTGCATAAAGGAGGTAGTTTCGCCAAGCCCAGAGGTGTTGGAGTCATTGGTGAGGCATTACACTATTTAAGAGCATGATTGCCATGTAATCATCTTCTTCTTCGCCTATTAGCCTTGCTCTTCTCTCCCACTTATTATACGGATTGATAATACCTGAGACATAGTCAGAGTTACCACGTAATACTCTCAGCCAATTCAAATGCCGATGGCCTTCAGAGGGATAGTTTATTTTTCTTTTTTCCCCTTTTTAAAAATTCATTCATTCCTCATTACTCCCTGGCTTCAAATTTCTTTCCATCTCCCTTTCTTTCTTCCATTTTGTTTTTCACCTTTTCGCTTCTCTTCCATTTGCATTTATAGGAGTGGCCTCCCTAGTGTAATCCATCTTTAGTTTGAGGAGAAATAGTGAAGCATGTAAAATTTAATTTATGGCCATCTAGCTGAACATTTAGAGAAGAGAAGTGGCTGGCTGGCTGGTTATAGATGAGGATCTACACATGTATATATACGATCATATATACAAACCCATTGGAGACCGAGAATGGGATATTGGACATCAAAAATATTGGTACTTACTAGGTCTAGGTTAGCTCAAGGATGAAAATGTTGCTGTTATTGGATATTGATATTGATGTTTCTTTGATAAATTATTGTATCAATAAAGTTTCAGATTCCTTTGGTCTTGCTATTTATTTCTTCTCTTTTATTAATGCCTCCTGAAGTATACTCTCTCCGGTCCACTCACTATAAGTGATTTTTTTGGTTTTTTTCACACATTAAGAAATTTACCTTTTAGCATTAATTAACAATGAAATTGACCATATTAATTTTAATTTGCTCATTATAACAAACTATTTCTAGGCTCTTTACTCCAAGGGCGGAAAGAAAAAGTTATTTTCTTCTTGATATCTGAAAAAATCAAATAATGTGGAGCACAAAAAAAAATGCCAAAAAATCACAAAAATGTTAATAATGTTTTGTCTGGTTCCAATTAAATCATCTACCCTTTTCAGTTTTACTAATAAATGCTAAAGGATCGTTTGGTATATGAGATAAGAAAAATAATCTCAGGATAAAGTTTGGGATTAACTTTATCCCGTATTTAGTTTAAAGTATTAGTTAATTTCGAAAAAATTTTTACACTAAAATGATAGAATTAGTTATCTCATGTAGAACTAAACGACCCCTAAGGTTATGCCTAACAAGGATTGCAAGTATAAAGCATATATACGCGGTCCATCTATATTATGAGCTACGATTGATATCGACGCATCTGAGACCGTCAAATGCTTGTGTTACATACTCGAGTGCATGTACTCTGGATGGGTGCCCATACCTACTAATGTACGAAGTTGATAAGGTTGGTCTAGGGGTGGATTTATTTCCTTTCATTTTTTGGGCAATTTGGTCTTGTCTGGCCTTTTAGGTATTTCTGAATCAAGAACTTCCTTCTAAAGGTTTCTTTTAGCCCATCTTCATTTAAAATCTAACATGCATGCATTTAAGACTTTAAGTTGCAAGCTTCCAATAAGTCCCCACCCAAAGGAAGTTGCCCATATACTTTAAATTCTCTTTTTTTTTTAATTTTATACATTCTTTGGCTATGGGCCTTGATGAGTGTGCATATTAATCTAGACAGCTGAAAAAACAAGTGAGAAAACTAGAATGCTAGAGCAATGGTGATCTATTGTTAAAAGAAGGCAAAATATATAGAGACACTTAAAAGTTGTCATCAATTAATTGTTAGATAGACAATTCTTCCGGACAAAAGTAACACCCGTGAATCTCTCATGTTGACATGACAAGCGTTTTTTACACAAAGCGTGTGAAGTCCGTTAAAATTTCCACGTGGACCCCACTTTTTCGTTCAATTTTTCTACGTGGAAATGTACCAGATAATTATTTTAAAAGGTTGCTATTTAAAAATTAGTCGGTGTATCTTAAATTTTAATTTTTCAGGATAAAAATATCTCGAAGTTAAAAATTTTTAGTTTAAAATCTGCAAAATAAAATAAATACTGCTCAATCTCTAAATAGTATCCATAAAAATGGCTATATGTTCACTTCGCCTTTTCCCACCAAAATCCAAGCAAGTCCAATACCAAATACACACGCTTCAACAACTTATAATTCAACATAATCCAAAACATCATCACATGATAACCAAGAATAAACATATCCACAATAGACTATACATATACAAAAACGGGCAGCACATATGCCCACCGCCAAGGGCGAAATCATTGAGTCTACGCAAAAAAGCCACATGCTCCGATCATATGTTGATTTGTACAGTTTGCTCGTGAATGGAAAGTGAAATAATGCTGAAATTGCCTTGTTTACACTGGCTCAAATCTGGACATTTCTTTTGTTATTTTTTTTGCTTTTTTATTATTTATAAATTACAGCTGTCTTTTGTTCTAAAAAATTGACGTGTCATTCATTAATTTGTCCGTTATATATTATTATTATGATTTTATTTCAGGCATATGGTCTGTTAAACTCGGATGTGCACGAGACACACTTCTGTCAAGAAGAGATGTATATTTGGTCATTGTGTTAAGGTATTTATTTGGCAGTTGACAGCATAAGTGTCTATCTACATATTTTTAATCCTCAGGCAAGGTGTTCACTTCAGAGCGCTGATCTAATTAGTTGCCAACTTCTTAATACAATGTTACAAAATTGGCTATTTGTGTAAATCAGCCTTCACCTTATGTGAAAGTTGGGCCTCTATTTATTCTAGTTTCCCTAATGTGCCTTTTACCTTCCTATACTATATATGAAACTTTATTATCCTCCCTAATCAAGTTTTAATTTAATTACGTGGTCATATACAATTTATCAATTATATACAAATTAGTTTTAAATTAGTATTCTTTTATATTTGGAATTGAATAAAGAATCAGTTATTTCCCATCCATGCTTTCTCTCTCCTGCTCTCTCTCTCTCTCTCTCTCTCTCTCTCTCTCTCTCTCTGTTCTTTCCCCAAATTTTCTTCCTTTGATGTTCTCTACTTTTTATCCTTTCATGTTGTATATATTTTTAAAGGAATTCATCAATGAATTTCAATCATTTTACTATAGAGTTTTAACTTAGCAATTTTCTTTCATGTTGCACAATTGGTGTTCAAATTGAAATTGTCAATCAATAAATTTTGAAGGTGTTTGACTCTCCACCATTGACAGCCATTAAAAAACTTTGAAGCTTTGAATTCGAATTTGGGTTTTCAAAAATCATTATTTTTTTGGATTGGGTGTTGTTGCAAAGAATTGTGAATATTGTTTAGAGTTTATATCTCAATTTTGAGGGTGTTTGGTGAAAATTAGGCTTGATTTTGGCTGAATTTCAGATTGAAACTCGAAGAAGAAAAAGAAGAAGAACACATGACATACAATATACTTACAAAATTGTATTTAAATTGTACTATAATTGTATGTAAATTATATTTAAGTTGTATTATTATGATGACCCAAAATATCATATTTAAATTTAATAATTTATTCTATGTTCTAAGACCTCGAAAATTACTATTTATCATTCCTCGACTTGCGTGCACAGTCCGTAAAATTCTCCGAAAAGTTTTTATGTGAAAAATAAATTAAAATATGAATTAGAGCTTTAAAACAAATTTAATAAGTTTTTAGTCCGTATCGTGATTTGGGACTTGGGCGTATGTTTGACATCGAATTCCGAGGTCCCTAACCCGAGATATGGAATTTTGATGAAATATTTAAAGTTTGAAAGCTTATGAGTTTTAAAGAAATTAATGATGTTGGATTTATGGACACTGGGTCCGTATTTTAGTTTCGGAGTCCGATATAGGTCCACTATAATAGTTATGACTTGTCTGCCGAATTTGATGAGAAACGGAGTTGATTTGACGTGATTCAGACGTCCGGTTGTAAAAATATAAGTTTTAAAGTTTTCTTGAAAATTTCCTTTGATTTGGTGTTCGATTCATAGTTTAAGTGTTATTTGGGCAATTTAATCGCGCGAGCAAGTCCGTAGCGTATTTTATGATTGAAATTCATATATGGTTTGTATCCGGGAGGTTCCAGATGAGTTTCGGGATGAGTTTTGAGCGAGTCCGGACATTTTGGCACTCTAATATTGTTCTGGCACTTTCGGGGGCGCGGACCGCGCATTTTTGGGCACTGAGGCGAAGGAGGGATGCGGACCGCAGCAGAATTTCGCGGCCGCGCTCAAAATTTCGTGGACCGCGCAATTCTGTCCGAGGCTGCGCTCCAGGAAGTTCTGTAGATCCACTGGTCCGACTTCGGAAGCCTATATCTTTTGACCTACAAGGAATTTTAAGATGATTCAAAAACGAAAGTTGTAGCTCTGCGTGTCTAGTTTCCATAAAGGTAAAAAAGTCATCATTTTGACATATGTAGAGAAAGTTATAGCCAAAATACTAAAGCCTGGCAGTGCAGCCCCAAGAATTTCGCGGCCGCATCATTTTTTCATGATCGCGGGACTTGGGGCGCGACCGCGCTTGGAATTTTGCTGACCGCGAAATTGAAGTTCAGAGTATGTACTATATATCCGAGGTTTAAGTTATTATTTCATTTTTGGATTTTGGGAGCTCGGTTGGAGACGATTTTTCGAGGGCTTTTCAAGAAATTCATCGGGATTTGGGCCATTCGGAGCCGGATATTCGTGGGAAAGGCATTGTGACCAATTGATTGAGCTTGGTTCTAGGTAAGTGGCTTGCCTAACATTGTGTGGGGGAAATTCCCTTAAGATTTGGAACTATTGTGATATGTGAGCGCCGTGTACGTGGGGTGACAAGTACGTACACATGCTAGTTGTGGAAAAAACCCGATTTTTCTTACTGAGTAGCAACCTATTTTTTCTTTTATTTTGAGTTATACCATTTTTATGAGCATTAATCTATTTTCATTCTTAATTGAGTTATTCCCATTTGTGTAGCTATCCTGTTTAGTCGAATACAACATGTCTACATGTCTTAATTCCTTATGTGAACTATGTGCAACATGCTTAGTGAATTTCTTGCTTCTTCCTTGACTAGTACTTAGTCTAAATCATAAGATTTCGTGACGTAGTTGTATTTCTATTATTTACACTGCATATTTACTTTGGGACTATGGAACGGTATTTCGGGAGATCCCTCTATCTTGCATATTTACTTTGGGACTACGAAACGATATTCTGGGAGATCCCCATGCACATTTACTTTGGGACTACGGAACGGTATTCTGGGAGATCCCCCTGCACATTTACTTTGGGACTACGGAACGGTATTCTGGGAGATCCCCCTGCACATTTACTTTGGAACTACGGAACGGTATTCCAGGAGATCCCCCTACACATTTACTTTGGGACTACGGAACGGTATTCCGGGAGATCCCCCTGCACATTTACATTTGGGACTACGAGACGGTATCTCGGGAGATCCCCTGTTGTATTTTTGTGTACTGAGCTGTTACCTTCTATGATTTCATTATTGTTAAATTTCAGTCTTTATTTTATTGTAGTATTACATTCTATATTGTTTTATTATATATTTACTAGTACGACCCTAACCTGACCTCGTCACTACTCGACCGAGGTTAGGCTTGGCACTTACTGGGTACCGATTGTGGTGTACTCATGCTACTCTCTGCACATATTTTTTTGTGTACAGATCCAGGTGCACCTTATCAGCCGCACTATCAGTGAGCTGGGACAGCTTTGGAGATTTCAAGGTATATCTGCCGCGTCCGCAGACCTCGAAGTCCCATTCTACTCTTTCTCATGTCCTTTATCTTCTGTATTTTTCCTTGTTAGACTCTGATGTATAGAGACGCTAGATTTTTCCTTCTGTAGTTTGTAATTCACGATGTTCCGGGTTTTGGGATTTGTTGTGTATTTTTGAATAGTTGGTTAAATTTATATTTTTATTTTATTATTTCATAAAATATTAGGCTTACCTAGTTGTAGAGACTAGGTGCCGTCGCGACGTCACACGGAGGGAAAATTGGGTCGTGACAATTCTGTTGTAGTTATATTTTTTTATTTGAATTTTGTATGAAAGTTGAAAAATAGTTGTATAATGTATGAATCATTGTATGAAATTTGTATTTAAGTTATAAATACTATCTTTTTACATAAAGTTATTTATATGTATCAAAATTGTATTAAAAGAGGAAATTTTGATTAAAATTTCAGAGAGGAAGAAGAACACACTACATACAAAATATATACAAATCTCTTACAAAATACATACAAAAGACATATTGAATAAAATTTGTATGAAGGTTGTATTTAAATTGTATGATATTTTTGTATTTAATTGGGTAAAAATAATTTATGAAAGTTGTAGATAAGTTATAAATAAATTATATATTATATAATTAGTTGTATAAATTTATTTTTAGTTTATATGTTATTGTAGATGTATCAAATTTGTACGAAATTTATTTTTAATTTGTATGTTGATGTACCATATAAATTTATCATTATCAAATTTATATTGATGTTGCTGCTGGTGCTACATCGACAAAGATGGAGGCGTTTAATATTTTACTTAAATTTCGAGTTTATCTTTTACCAAAAATTTAAAATCTCTTTCAATGATGGGTTTTGGTGTATTCACTTGATTAACTCTTTTTATAATGTATAAATGGGCTACAGACACACGCACACACACATGTTAACGATATAAAATAGGGAATAGGAGAAGAGAGAAAAAAAAAAGGAAAAAAAATATAACTAAAGCCCCTAATTTAAGACATTAATAATGGATAGTACATGGAGAGAGGCGGCAGAAAATAGGGAAAGAGAAAAGGATAGAAAAAAAGGAATAGGGTATAACTTAATCCCCTAATTTAAGACACTAATAATTGATTGTATATAAATTGTAAGCAAACCTTATTTAGGGCGGGTAATTTTTAAAATTAGGACAATTTTAATTATAAGGTTTCATATAGTGTATAGGAAAGAAAAAAACCCTTCTCTAATTAATGTAGTGTTGAAATTGAAGAATTAACCCAAATAGTCCTCCATTATGTAGGGGTAAGGTCTGCGTACAGATTACCCTTCTCAGACCTCACATATTGGGAATATATTGGGTATGTTGTTGTTGTTGTTGTAGTCGTCCATCTAATTTTCTAAACTAAAAATAGCCTGTGAATGTATTATATACATATAATGCATGTGAAATATGTGTATAATTATGTATAATCAATATATAATCTATGTATAGCGACTAGAAAAAATAAACTACTAAATTGACCGGCTATTTGTTTAACAATCCCGTTAAAATTCAGCAAAACCAACACCCTCATAGGAGTACTATTTGTTATTGTGGATATTAATGACAACTGTTTCCAAAAAGTTCTAATTTTTATTTTTCTAAATACTAAAGTATAATCAAAGAAAACTGTTCGAGGAAAATGATTGCGTTTTGTGACCAATATTAACTCGTGAAAATCTTTTGTCAGAACAAAACACACAACATAAGAAGAAAAGTGAACGAGACAAAGAGAAAACCAGAGTTTCTATAAGAAGCATTATTTATTAGAAGCTAGTCATGAACTCCTCATTCAACAATTAATTCATGGAATTTCTTTTTCCATGGTGAGTACACATACAAGAGAAGTCAATACTTATTCTCTTTTTTTTGTTTCACCATATCAACAAAAAGGACATGCAAAAGCTATTTTCCTTATACTAATTAATACTCCAATATATATAATTTAGTTAAATTCAAGTGGGAATAAACCCAACTCGTCAAGTACATCTTTGCAGCCAGAAACAGCTTCAGTTTTCATGAAGAAAAGTGGATTTGCATAACGAGTTGGATTGTGGATTCCAACATTTGCACTGCACACAACTCTTGAGTTCTCAAAACCAATGGCAGATTCTTTGCAATCCTCTCTTGGACTCTTGACAATTGACACTTCACAAAGTTCATTCTCATGATCACCTTCTACTTTTATTATGTATTTTCCATTTTTGTCTGTCACCCCTTCTACTGAGTATGTCTCCTTTTCTGTCTCAATATCTTTGCATGCCAATCGCACGGTTGCACCTATATATATACAAAATGGGATTAGCAACTTGGTAGCATTACTTTCAATGAACTATATATAGTACTATTATATTTCTAGTTTGTGTATTAAAGGGTTAATTTCATGGATTATTATTAACTTTTGATTTATTATACCAAAGTCATAAAAGTAAATTTGTAACAAAGAAAATAACTCAACTATGCCTATATATTACAAAATATAAAAGGCGAGGGAGAAAAATGTTAAAGCCAATCTTGAAAATATAGGTAGGCAATCACTTCAGCAACTTACCTTACACAATATCTATGTGGAAAAACTTTCACAATAATAATGAGCCTATTTTCGGCCCACTTAAAATGAAGAAAAAAACCATGATGTGCCACATGATGAAAGACATAAGGTATTAGGTTTTGTCAGAAAATAGAGATAATTGTTGTAAGTGGTGCCATTTGAATATCATGTGATCAGGTGAATTGGTGAAGTGGCTATTCTTGCATGAAAATTTTGTACATATTGCAGCTTACTTGCATTTTTCAGGACCAAATTTAGCATTTTTTTGAGATCTTTCATTTTCTATTATATGCATAGTTGAGTTATTTTTTGTTAGAAACATTAGTTTTACAATTAGGATGCAATAAACTGAAAGTTGAATGAACATGCGTGAAATTACTATAGATTTATGACATTCATACCTTCGATATACTCGCTAAGTTTGGTCTGAAATTGAACACGGCAAGTGTCACAATAGACACTGCCTTCAACATTGATGGCCTGAGAATCATGGCATTGTGCGAAGTTGACAAAGGCCAAGATACAGACTGCAGAAAGGAGCAAAATAGCCTTTGCCATTTTATTTGTTTTGTTCTTTTTGTCTTCTTTGGTTTTCTTGTTTTACTCCTCCTCTTGATGTGTTCACGATTTGAATGTACAAGTGATATTCATTATTTATAGGTGAAAAGAGTTTAAGGAACAATGGTAAAGCGATTATTTCTGTAGTAGTTCAAGGAGGATCCTATATTTTATATGAGGTCAGGAAGCAATTGACTTGTTCTTTGTTTTATAACTTTACTTGGTTGAGAGAAATAGTAATATTATTTGAACCACAATCTTGAACAATATGGAATTTCCGTTTGAAGATTAATAGTGTTTCGAGGCAAATTATTTAAGAATTAATTTGTAACTTTCATGTCAAACTTTTTAATTTTTTAGAATGATAATATAAATATAAAACAACTATATATATGTTGTGAATACTCATTATCATGCTTGGTAAATCATTCAGGAACTTTGGTTCTTTTCGACAATATTCACATTGTTATGTCGAGTATTTCATATGTTAAGAGTTAAGACGAAGAAAAACTAACATTAGGTCGATAAAAGAAGAACAACAAGAATTTAGTGATAGATGATACTTGATCGTATTGTTATTTCATTAACCGTCAATTCATCAAAAATCATGCAACAAGGATAATATTAAATGATGAATTGAGATTCTGAAAATTGCATTAGACTAAAAAAGGAAAAATAGTAGAGTGAAAAATAAATTAAAAGAATTGTAGCTCAAAATTATGAATTGCCATCTAGAGTCTCTAGTCTCTACTCTCTAGTATATGTTACTTTTGCTAAAGGAAGAAAAGTGGTCTTTGCAGCATACATAGGTAAGAAGCAACTGAACAAGATGCAATAAAGATGCCATTAGGAGTCGTTAGAAACAACAACAACAACCGAGTGAAATCCCACGAGTGGGGTATAGAGAGGGTAGTGAGTACGCAGACCTTACCCCTATCCCGAGAGAGTAGAGAGGCTGTCATGACCCAAAACCCACTATAGATCGTGATGACGCCCAACGTCGCCGTTAAGCAAGCCGACTGTGAACTACCAACTTAATTGTTCATTTATTATTTTTGAAATCATGAATCTTATTAGATAGAGAGATCGATGCATCAAAAATCGTACATATGTATGATTTAAGTAAAATATAAAGTAGAAGTGTCTCAACGGTAAGCAAAATCATAAACAAATTCTAGAACACCCCAAAACCCGGTGTCACAAACTAGGAAGTATAATAACAAAACATCATCTGTCTAGGATACAAGGTAAACAAGATAAAGTAAATAATTGTGATGGAAACTCTATGTGCTGCGAATCGTGCCGTGGAATACAGTTCACCATAGAGTCCCCTCAGTAGTTGCGTCTCTGCGCCCAAGCGACCACCAAATGAACCTGTCAAATCCTGCACATTTAGTGCAAAAGTGAAGCATGAATACGTAAATCAACGTGCACCCAATAAGTATCTAGCCTAACTCCGAAGAGATAGTGACGAGGGATCGACATTGACACTTACTAGTGGTCCAGCAAATCAAATATAATAAAGTAGGCAAATATAAAACATGGTAGGTAACAATGAGTAGAAGTAAAGACAAATAATATAGTCTACAGCTGAACAGTGAACACAAAGTTTTCAAATACTGGATACCTCTCAAATGGAGTACGTAATGGTCAACACCAAATCAACGGTCACATCTCAAGTTTGAAAGATTCATGAATACGCGGACTTCTTATTTCGCACGATTCTGCCGAGGCGAGCGGCCCGATCCTATAATAGTGGTTTTATATAAATGCCGAGACGAACAACCTGATCCCATAAGAATATGATACATGATATTGCCGAGGCGAACGACCCGATCCCATAAGAGTGTAGTACTGCCAAGGTGAACGACCTGATCCCATAAGAGTGTGGTACTGCCGAGAAAAACGGCCTGATCCCATAAGAATATGATACTGCCGAGGCGAACGATCCGATCCCATAAGAGTGTGGTACTGCCGAAGCGAATGGCCAGATCCCATAAGAATATGATACTGCCGAGGCGAACGACCCGATCCCATAAGAGTGTGGTACTACCGAGGCGAACGGCCCGATCTCATAAGAATATGACACTGCCGAGGCGAACGGCCCGATCCCATAAGAGTATTTCATGAAGTTGCCGAGGTGAACAAGGCGAACATCCCGATCCCATTAGAATATGAAGCTTTTACGGGTCTTTGACCCCACTCATGAATATATGTGTGAGTTATGAGATTTAAGAAAACTTTCCGATGGATATGCACAACGCGGAAGAAATCAGTAAGAGAAGTACAATTTGTATGGATGAACAAGTAGCTTGTCAAGTATCTAAAATAGTGAGTCCATTACTTTACGTGAGTCTAGTCTCAGGTCATAATGCGAATTAAAATAATTGAACAGGAAAGAATAACGCAAATAATACAATTAAAGCATTGCGTGAGTCTAAGTCTACTCGAACATAATCAGGAATTCTAGCATACGCACGGACACTCGTCACCTTATACATGTGTAGCTCCCACAATATGTAGCACATAACAAATATAATACCTACAGAGTAATTTCCCCCTCACAAGGTTAGACAAAAGACTTACCTCGCTCCGAAATCCAATAACCGACTTCAACGCCTTTCTAGCACCTCAAATCATTGCCAAACGATCCGAAACTAATCAAACAACATGCAAACCACTCAAAATATACTCCAATACTCATAATTTAACAATTGTAAATAAATTCCCAACTCCTCAAGAAAAGTCAACAAAGTCAACCCCCGGGCTCACGCATCCGGATTTCAAAAATTATCAAAATTAATTATTACCCATAACCTATAGAGTTTATATTCCAAAACTCATCCAATTTCGTCAATGCATTGATCCTCAAATCAAGGATTTACCATCTCATAACTTTGGAGCTCAAAATCCCAATTTCTACAATTCAAATACGGATAAAAATGATAACCAACGAAAATAATCATGAAAAAATATCAAAATAAATTTAACCCCTTGTTGAGACGAGAACAACGCCGCAAAAATCACCTCAAACGGAGCTCTAGAACTAAAGATATGCTCAAAATACTAAAATGCTCGGTCTGTCCACTTAAAACACTGTCCAGGCGACTTTTGTTCTTCGCCTTCGCGGGACACCTTTGCGTTCGCGAAGAGCAATTTTTTGCGTTGACCGGTCAACCCAAATTTCCTTCTTCGCGTTCGCGAAGAACAAAGTCCGCACGAGAAACCAACAATCTTTCCCGACACGGAAATTGACATAACTCTCTCATACGACCTCGGAATTCGACGATTCTTGTTGCTATGGTTCCATAATTACGATAAGGATCTAATAGTTCAATCTAATCACAAATCAAAGATCGTTTGCTAAATATGGTACCTTTTATGTCCAAAGAAATGACGTTAAAACATCAAATAAGAGCGCGATACAACCCAAACACACTCGAGGCCCCCGAGACCCCGTCCAATTACACAAACCAGTCCCAAAACATAAAACGAACCTACTCGAGGCCTCAAATCACACCAAACAATATCAAAACCATGAATCGACGATCAAATCCTCCTTTTAACTTTCAAACATTCAAACTTCGACGAACGCGTCTGAATTACACTTAAACATTCCGGAATGATGCCAAACTTTATGTACAAGTCATAAATCATGATACGAACATATTCCAAGGCTCAGAACCCCAAACGGATAGAGATAATACCAAAGTCTACTTCAAACCAAACTTAGAAAATTCTAAAACCTTCGAATTGCCAACTTTCCAAAATAAGCGCTGAAATGTTTCCGGACCACCCGATACTCAACCCGGTCATACGCCCAAGTCCAAAATCATCATACAAACCTATTGGAACCTTCAAATCCCGATTCCGAGGTCGTTTACTCAAAAGTCAAACCTTGATCAACTCTTCCAACTTAAAGTTTCCGAATTGAGAATTTTCCATCCGAATCAACTCCGAACTTCCCGAAATTCAATTCTGACCATGCGTACAAGTCATAGAACATGAAGTGAAACTATTCAAGGCCTCAAACCTCCGAACAATGCATTATAGCTCAAAATGACTGGTCGAGTCGTTACATTCTCCCCCACTTAGATATACGTTCGTCCTCGAACGTGCCAAGAACCGTTCCAGAGTTGTCCAAAATCACTGTTTGACACCTCGTGTACCTACCTGTGCCACCACAACCCACGTGAGAACATTAGCTCGAGCCAGACTGAAGATCCTCCCTATAACCTTAGCTAACACGCCTTAGAACCAAATTCTAACATCCGGAATTCTCCACGAGACCTGATTCCAATATGTGAGCACCGTAACAATCTCAACCCACAGTATCAAATAGGATCCTGCACCCATGCTGAGATCACATAATGCACCGCACAATTTGTATGTTCATGATAACATCCTCCGACTACAATAGCTGCAGATTCACGAACCAGATGTCCGTAGTATATCCCATAACATATATAAGCCCGGTCTCAACCCTCACCATACTGCAATGAGGAATGAGATGTGCAGGAACTCATAACCACCCATCAGATCAAAAACTCATGGAGTTTCTCTGCTCGACAAAAACCATTACCTTATTCTGAACTGAATAGTGACATTTTCTCTTTAATATACCTTACATAAATCCGATCGCACTGATTTCAGGTCCAATAATCTCGTCTCACCCAATACAAGCTGCTCAGGAAATAAGCCACCTCAAACACTGACTAAAATCCTATATGATGCCATCAATACGCCAACAAGCTACAACTCGAATATGACACATAAGAGAGAACGAACTCTGGCAAAGAACTACCCAGCCCGTGTAACGAATAAATGGCCAACAAATGCTTTGAACCTTTCTCAGATATGAGGAAAAATACACACAAAAATAAGTATATGGAACCGTACTCAATATCTCACTATTGCGGCGTGCAACCCGATCCACACATGATACCGTTGCGGCGTGCAACCCGATCCAAACATCATACCCGTGGCGGCGTACACACCTGATCCACACACAATAATCAATAAGGAGATACCCATCGAGCCAAAATGCTCATACCTATGGAATGCCCG